TGAATAAACAAGTAAAGTGTTACGGAAAACTACGACAAATTGAATTGTCCTGGAAACTCATCATCAATCTAACAACGTATTTTTTATTTCATATACATTTTTAACAACCTACGATGAAGATGACACAAATTTTTCTAATGAATTAATCGAAATGGAATAAAATACGACGGCGTCACTTGCCAGAGGATGATTTTTTTTTATTTCAGAAATTATTTTACTGATAGCAACAGGTATTAAATCGTTTCTTTAAATGACCGTTTTATTTTATCTTGCGTAATTTTATATTCATTATTTCATAGTTCTGCATTCCATGTTTTATTTTGAAAAAATTTCCAACATCATGTAAGTATACAGAATTTGTCATTAAGTATACTTCATTATAGTTTATTTTTGACACACACACTCGATATAGCAAAATAATCATTTTCAATATTGGATATTCCAAAAATTATCCGGAAATTTGTGTCTTGGATATATAATATGTTGAAATTTGATAAAAGCGGAGACGGAGACCAAATCATGGCTCATTTAGACGTTTTGTTTACACCGTTGCCATGGAAACCGTGCGTACGGTCGCGGTATTGGGCTGGAATCGGGTCCTGTTCCGACAGTGGCACATAACGCAAGGGTCGACAAAAATCGCCATATATTTCGCCGATTGATGATGTGCATAAAATTTTGTGGAGTGTTCGAACTTGCTTTACGTGGAGATGACGAAAGCAGGGAATCACAAAATCCAGGTAGGTATATATTTCGAGGTCTGGTTGATTTTACGGCCGAATTGGACTCTGCTTTATCAGATCACTTGAAAGAAGCAACGGTTTTTAAGGGTGCCCAGTAGCAGACCGAAAAATTAAGTAAATAGAATTTCATTTTACGGGCGTAATTTCAACTTTGAAAAAAAGATCGACATTTCAATTGATAGATTATGTCTAAATATCTGGGGAAGACACAATATTTTTTAAAATAAGTGATTGTTTAGTGTTTAATTAATCGTTCATTCTTCGAAGGAAATTGCACTTTTAGACGAGGAGAGCATTTTTCGCTTCAAATTTTATATCAGTGCAAAGACAACATTGAGCCCTATGGGGAAGACCCGGCCATTTTTGTTTAAAATTTATATTTATCAAAATATTTGCTTTTTAAAAAAATATTGAATAATGAAAATAAAGTGAAACTAGGCAACCCTATTTACAAAGATCCGTTTCAATTAATTGTTGAGTTTACACAGCAGGGAGCCTTGCCGACCGACCCTTTCATGTAATCAGTTCAGGTACTTTAGGTCATAAAACTCATAAATACTCTTAGCTGACCAACATTGTTGAAACTCTTTTACAAGTCGACTTCTTTCATTGCTGACATAATTTGATGTCAAAGTAATTATGTAAATTTTTATAATTTTATACATTCTACTAAAATATTTTCTTTCAAAAAATTATTCAAATATTTTTTATTAATCTGTCATTTTATATATTAATCAATACACAAAACTGACAAGATTTAGATTCTCATCACTTCACTAACCACTTATTTACCTGAACAATCATATTTATTTAAATTTAATTTTTTGATACTCTTTTCGCACCACCTATGAGGTAGAGTATTATAGGCACGTTTTTTACTTGGTATCTCCAGTAAACCTATTCCAATATTACTATTTATTCCTGTGTGTGTTTATACTAGAAGGGCAAAAGATTTATATGAACTATACACGACGCGAATGCAAATAAAAAAATTTAATTGTACAATTTTTTCTTTACAGTTTGTCTAATGGGTTGACTTGTTTAATAACGAGAATCTACTCTCTCCGGAAGTAAGGCATATAAATAAAATTTTTCTAGGGCTCTATCATATTATTTTCCCAAAATTTATCATCTCGTTGAATTAAGCACTATTTAAATTGGACATTTTATATACTTCTACGATAGCGTTTTTGTTTATTAAGCCGTCTGGCGATGCCGCTAAAAATGTATAAACCGCATTGTCTTATTGTCAGTTTGGTGTTAATGCAAAATGCATCAGTTGCCCTTGCTTCATTTTCTATGCAAAGATTTTGGGAGAGTACATCCTGAACTAGATTTGCAGGGATGTAAAATGTTTTTCACAGTACAGTAGGATTAGCCGTGTTACTTGTTCTCTCATTTTGAAAATTTTACCAAAATAACGTTCGGTTAGTCTAAAGGATTTTTCTGCACACCATTCTGCATTATTGCGTTCGCCAATTGTGTTTTGTTCGATTAAAAAGACATCAACGTTTGAAAGTTTTTTGAGAAATACTTTTTGCGCTGTGACATATCAGGTATTTCAACTGCCTCGTTAGATACATCGTCGCCCGAGAACTTGTATGATCCACAGACCGGAGCGCGCTCAGGCCAATGTCGACTCTATAAGCATCCAGAAATTCTGCGAGAAATAGTTATTATTTAGGTGCTTTTGTTTACACACATCTCACATGTTCCACTCGATTTGGACATGCAACTATTTTTTTGTTTAACTAAGAATTAATACTTTCATTGCGTTTGATACTAACGTCCTAAATTAGCAACTAGTGGAACAGTAATCATGCAATAGATTTTTTTGGGAAAATACAGTTATTTTTATGTTTTAGCAGCAATGTGTTCTATTTTCTATTAGTTTTTACATATTTTTAGTCACAATTTTGGTAGTTATTTTTTACTTTTATTTTTAGCAATAATAAATAGTCCAAACATGAAAAAATAAAAAAAAAATAAAAATTGGAAAATCTAAAATTTAGAAAACGAGAAATTGAACAATCGTATAATAGAAAAATCGAAACATCGAAAAGCTGGAAAATCTAAAAATTAAAAAAAAAATGGAAAATCAGAAATTTAATAAATTCCGAAAATTGAAAGACTGAAATATGCATAGAAGAACTGAAAACTCGAGAAATCGAAAAATCCAGAATTTTAAAAATTGCAAAATTAAAATATCGAAAAGTTGAAAAATTGCGAAATCGTATCATTGAAACATCGGACAATTGAGAAATCGAAAAATAAAAAAACGGAGAAATCGAAAATTTGAAGAATGGAAAAATTGAAAATGTCAAAAATTAAAATACTAAAAAATTGAAACATCAAAAGTCGAAAAATCGAAAAACCGAAAAGCCGAAAAATCTCAATAATCTATTTATAAACCACAAGTTCAGGATTATGCTACTAAAAAATTGAAAACGTCATCTCAAAATTTTGCCGAATAAATTCTACTAAAAATGTGCAAAATATGATGAGTTTTTACTGGTAATTTATCATTGCATTCATATTTTTTTGATTTGCTTATGTACCAAGGTGGCTCAAAAAAATTAATGAATGAGTCAATTTATTCTATTGATTAAATCAAGAACGACTCACTCCATTTTCCCAGAAATTTTGGGAATACTCTTATTTTTAGTCTAATCCACATTGATTTACGTGTCCTTGCAAAATGTTGATTTCATGACAAAATTGTGTACCTAAAGTAAAAATTTAACCCGAAAATGCTGGATATGTTTCATTGTATTTTAGGTGCGAGGGAAGTTCTGTCGAAACAACTTTTCACCAATGTTTTTTGCTGTTATATTTGAACATAAACATAAAACATTATAAAGAAACTGGTTTATTGAGAATTTTAAATTGTGCATTTTTTAATTTTTCTTAGAAGGAATTCATTTTATTGCACCACATTTGGATGTACTTTTCAACCAAATGCAAGTTCATAAGGCTAACAGCTTATAAGTTCAAAAATATTTAAAAGATTTTGAGAAACAGATTCCATAAATTAAAGAAAATAAAATTGATATCCGACAATAATAAAATTATTCTTAAAGAATAACGAAATCATTAAATTTGTCTAAAAACTTTTATTATATAAATCCTTTGACATTTAATAAACTTCACGTAACCCAGATTACATCATGTAACATTTTCCCGTATCAATTTCAACCCAAGTACTTGCATTCATTACATTAAAACAATCTACTACGTTAAATTCAGGTTATTCCACGCAACCACCTCAAAAAATCGCTCAACTTTATCAGTTTCGGAACTATCAAACAAAATAACCTCCACACTCATAAACCGATTCTAAATCACGATAACTTAAAAACTGCCGACTCCGACTTTACAGTCCGCGTTTTTCTCCGTCTTTCAAGCCTCTCCGTCTCCTTCCTCGGCGACTGTTGGTACGGTGGAAACGCGACGAGGCATGGCGATTTAATTTGAAAAGTGTTGTCGGGGTCGAAGGACGGGTGGGCGGAAACCCTTTGAGGGCTCTTTCTGTGTTTTTTGAGGTTTGGAGTTTGATGAATTGGGAGATTTCGTGGTTGGTTATTGCGGCGTGTTCGGGACGAGAGGATCGAATTCGTTTCGAGGTATTTCGAGTATTTGGTGGGCGAGATTCTTGGGATTTGTACAAGATCATTTGTTAGGTTTGATGGTTAATTCGAGTGAGATATCCGGGGTTTAACTCCGGCGCAGAGATGGGTTATTTTTATTTAGTATGCGTATAACTTACCGACATACTTAACATCCAGAAATCGTCGATATAGTGTAATTAACGCAACAAAACCGAACTTTCATTTCCACGAAATATAACTTTAAAATTACTGTATATCGGGTTTCACGTAGGGAAAAATTTCCGATTAAGTTATCATTTGATACCTCGTTACGTAAGACATCCGGCAACCCAAAGAAACGCAATCTAAATACCTCGAATTCGTCGATTTTTACAAACTAAGAACACGGTTTGAAGCAAACTTTTTACGCGAATTTCACTGTACTAATTGGATCGAGTTTGCTTTCACTGGGGCATGATTTACGACTGCATACTAATAACATTCCGATGAAATTTTAATAAAACGCAGCCAAAAACGGAATTTCGCTTAAAACAAAAATTTCGTGACGTAGACGTCAATTCCCGGTGACGTCACTTAACCCCGAGAGCTTTCTCTTTGATTAAACCGCCCCTCATCATTAAACCAGTGGCGCTTCGTCCCTCGAACTCACCTGATGTACTCAATCGACAAACTAATAGCATCCTGAGGATTAAAAATCGTCCTCTCGGTATCCTCTCCCCTCTCCTCTGGGGAAACTTTCGGCGCCAACGCAGGCCTATTCTGGAAAAACTCCTTCCTCCTGTACATCTCCTTGACGAAAAGTCCTGGCACGAGTTTGTACACGATGTCCTGGAGCGTCTTGTCCAATCTGAAAAATTCATGGGGGGTGTAAATAAATAAGGATATTCGAGTCGGGTCCACGGGAAAGTTCGCTTTTGTAGTTAATATTCGCGAGAGGTTGGACGGAAAATCTCGGTGTGTACTTGTGGTTTATGAATCTATCTTGATACACGGCACAAATTCCGCGAACCTTCCGTAATTTCCAACCACGCATTCGTACTGTCCTCCTAATTGCCCGATTAGAATAAAACTCGCGCCACTGCCATTTGCATATAATTACAGCCGGCGTGGGAAAACATCCGGAAATATGCGTGTGTGTGTGTGTTTGTGCGCGTTCGTTCGACTCGCGGGTTTTGTTGTTGTTTTCTTTACGTTAATTGAAGGAAACGTGATTTCGTGGCCGTGTGTGTATGTGTGTGCGGTGTTTTGGCGCGCAGACGCCGCGGCAGCGTCGCGACGCCACATCAATATACAACGCGGCGCGTGTTTCCGTTTTTCCCACGGTTCGCCGCCTGCTGGATGTTGATGGTGCAGGTACTCACTTGAGACACGGCTTGGCCTTGTTGATGATGACCTCGCAGATGGGGCAGTAGCAGTTCTCCTGGAGGAAGTTGATTATGCAACTGCGGCAAACTGGAAGAGAAATTGCAAAGTGGTATTATTTGTGGTCGGCTGGATGGGAGTTTTTTAGTCTGAGTCGTATTTTATTATTATTGTGATTATTTATTAGGATGGGAACGCACAGTATGGGGCAAATCAAACGAGAGAGAATATGCATAATTTAATTTGTGGCGGCCGTCGTGAAAATGAGGTAAATCGGTATCATTTTCAGGTTAAATCCGCTGCTGGAGAAGTGACATTTTACGGAATTCAGTCCGACAAGCTGGAAACGACGGACTTTATTGCAATGTAAACGCCACTTAATTAATTTCAACATGTACAGCGAAAAATCAGTTCTTTTCACAACTAACTAATTTTTTTAAATGAACACCCGTTATATTAATCCACTCTGTTTTTTTTTTCAGAATCTCTTGATGATCGTAAACCTATCTTCTACCCAAAGTGGCAAGCATCCGCCCCAATACAATTAATTCACCGCTATCTAACTGTAATAAAATGTCTGCTTACATCCCGAGTAACAGTCAGAACAGTAAGAGAGTTTCCATTATTCCGCCCTCAATAAACCATTCAATTAAACTAGCAATCATTTGCTTTACATCTTCACGTAAAGGTTTCGGCATTGTTGATTGCTTGTTGAAAATGCAGTAGGTATATTCCCCTGACTGTAGTTTTAAGTAGAAAGAAAAATAAAAAATGGGAACAAACTGTAAAAAATCAACGAACGTAACTTAAACTTAACTGTCAAAGTTATCAAATTAAGAACCCGATTCAAGTTAGCGTGCACACGCACAGTCCCCCACCTATATCCAACGGAATATAATACCTACTAACATAAATATTAGACGAAGATAATAATCTAGAAGGAAATGTCTGTTATACCGTTGGTAATAGTAACTACATAAGTACTTACATTTTTGAAAAATTGTTGTCAAAATAGAAGGGCACTGAAGGGACTTGAATCACCAGCAAACTGTTAAAAATGAAAAAGAACATTGTCTGCGGAGACCCTTGGTATCATGATGTGCTGTCAATAAGATTTATTGCACTGTGTAAAGTTCCCGTCCCTAAGTGGTAACAATGTATACAAAAAACAGCGCTACATCGCCGAGATCATAGTACATTTAAGCCTCAAACTCACGATCGTGGCCATGATAGGACCGAAAGAAAACTGCAAGCTGAAGAACAAATTTTGGGCTTGCAGCTGAGGTTGGAGTTTCACAGTTTGTGGTGCATCGTACATTAAAAGAACAAGGTTTAGATCCATACCTCGTTCGAAAAGTGCAAGCTTTGGAGCCTGCTGATTTTCCACGTCTTCGCTTACGCTCGGGAACTAAAAATAATCTATCAATTTTACGAAGAACTGGACCATCGTTTCAGGGCAATGAATGATATTGTCGTAACATTATATTATATTTCACCTTTTTTTTTGTTTTCTTAATATACATAGCCATCTAGCGGGGCCTAATTCCAAAATAGATACAGTATAACCATGACTATAACCATAACCATCCTATATTTATGGAATCAATAAGTCGGAATTTATATCCCTGAATTTAATCAGAATTTTACGTGACATTTACAAAAATGAAACTTCCCATTATGTATTCTATTACCTCCCTTATGTAAATTCCGACCCATTCGCCACAATTTTCGAAATTAACTAAATACTTCCGTGCAGATTTTGGGCCGCAGAAGCCACTTCTGGCTTCATTTCTTCGATAACTCAAACCGTTTTTCCAGAATCGTCCATTGAAATATCGCGATCTTTAAAAATTTTAAAAAATTCGAATTTCACACCGAATTTTCCGAAAATATTGCCCTGTTACCACAAACATCCTATATTTTTGAAATCAGCACGTTGGGATATATATATCTGAATTTTTTCGGAATTTTTAGACAACTTTTCCAAAAATAAGAAATTTTACACTGTGGTAGTACTTGCGAAATAACCTACCCTCTAAGAAAATAAAAGGCGGGTGGGTCAGGCTAGTATTTGGCAAAATAAGAGTCATTCTGACAAATGACCTACCCTTCTAAGAAAAGGTACTAGCACCGCCCACCCACCCTCTATTTTCTTAGAAGAGCAGGTCATCTGCCAAAATCAATCTTATCTTGGTAAGTATGACACTGATTTTTGCAAATGACATTCTCTGATAAAATAAGGGTGAGTGGGCGGGGCTAGTACTTGTCAAGATAAGACTGATTTTGGCAAATGACTTATTCTTGTAAGAAAATAAAGGCTGGATGGGTGGGGTTAGTACTTGCTAAAAATAAATAAAAAAATTAAATGTTTCATTTGATAATTTGTTTGACAATTTTGTAGTTTTTAATTCCAATCTTTTGATTTTTCAAGTTTTATCTTTACAATTTTGGAATGTTTTGATTTTTAATTTTTCAAGTTCTCAAGCTAAAATTTTTCCTTTTCACGATTTGTCATTTTTCCATTTTTTAACTAAAAGAACAAATTTATTCGAACGGAAATTTTGAAAAATCGAAAAATCCAAATTCTTTACTTAAAGGACAAATTTATTCGAACCGAAATTTTGAAAAATCGAAAAATCCAAAAATTGAAAATTAGAAACAAAATTTTCAGATGTTTTAAAGTTACGGCAAACATGGCAAATCGCTGACCAACATTACTTTTTACCCCCTTCCAAAAAATCGAAAATCAAAAATTTTAAAAAATCTATTTTCTCGATATTTTTAAAAATCAAATCATTGAGAAATCGGAAAACTGGCAAATTTGTAACATAAAAAAACGAAACTTTTTTCAATTGTCCGGAGAAATCAAAAAATTGGAAATTTAAAAAGCGAGAAATGGAAAAATTCGAAAGTTCAAAAATCGAAAATCTGAAAAATCTAGTAGTACTCACTACGATAAGACTTATTTTGGCAAATGATCTACTCTCTAAAAAAACAAAAAGCGGGTGGGTGGGGCTAGCATTTGCCAAACAACCTACCCTCTAAGAAAATAAAAGGCGGGTAGGCCGGGCTAATATTTGCCAAAATAAGACCAATGACCTACTCTTCTAAGAAAATAATGAATAGGTCATCTGCCAAAATCAGTCTTATCTTCGCAAGTATGAGACTGATTTTTGCAAATCACATATCCTCTAAGAAAAGAAGGGTGGGTGTGCGGGGCTAGTACTTGTTGAAATAAGACTGATTTTGGCAGATGACCCACTCTTCTAAGGAAATAAAGGGAGGGTGGGCGGGGCTAGTACTTGTCAAGATGAGACTGATTTGGCCCATGACATATGGCAAGTACAAGCAAATTTCGACCCATTTTCGACGATTTTCGAAATCTAACTATATACTTTTTCTTGTAGAGTTCGGGGCGCAGTCACTTCCAGCGTCATTTCTTCGATAATTTCAACCTTTTCCCCAGAATTAGATAATTAATTCAGTGCATTGAAATATCACATTTTTTAAAAATTTCAAAAAATTCAATACAATAGGTACAGAAAGAAGATCTTGCGTCATTTTTGCAAGTAGGTGCATGTTTTCAAGTTCAGTTCGGATTAAAGAGATATCGACTTCAACTAGCCTCTGTTCGGATTACTGGATGTTCGGATAATCGTGGTTTCGGATTATAGGTTATACTGTATTTCCTTACACAAATTTTCCATTTTAAACATGTTTTAAGTTTCATGTTGTGAAAAGAAGTCTACACACATTAAAACAAAAAGGCAAAATATAAGCCCGCCCACCCGCCCTATCTCGATTGTGATGATTTTTTTTATTCGCCGTGAACCAAGAGGGCGGAGCTAAACTGTAAAATACTACTTTCTTTACAAGAAATTAAAAACATGTATTTCAGTATCGTATTGTTCAAAGAATACTGTGTATATTGAGAAAAAATGCAAAATATTAACCCCACCCACCCTCCCCATCTCAAACGGGATGATTTTTTTATTCTTAGAAGCTTAAAACACGTTTAAAATGGTAATTAGGCTCCGCCCCCAGGTCTGCCAACGAATGAAAACTTCATTACTATTTAGATCAGGGCAGATATGGGTGGAGCTTAATCTTTGGTTTTAATTTTTCTTAATATACATAGTATTTTTTGAATAACACGATAATCCAAAAAATGTCTTACATGGCATTTTCTGGAAGAGAAATAATAAGAATTTTGCATTTAAATTCCGTTCCTTTGGCTCTCGACGATTAAAAAAAATCATTACAATTGAGACAGGGTGGGTGGGTGGGGTTTATATTTTGCCTTTTCTCTGAATATACGTAGGCGTCTTTTCGGAACAAGATAATCACCTGTTCACCGAAATCCTCATATTGTAGACAAATATGGATCTTGCAATTAAGCCCCGCCCCTCGATCTGACAACTAATGAAAAATTCACCACAATCGACCTTGGATATGGGTGGGGCTTAACTTTTGGCTTGTTTTTTTTCTTAACATACACAGTAGTTCCTTAACAACGCGCTACTCAAAAACATGTTTTTTATTTTTAGTTGAGAAATATCGATTTTGCAATTACGTTGCGCCCCTCGGTCTGACAACGAATAAAAAAAATCATCAGAATTGAGATAGGGCGGGTGGGCGGGGCTTATTTTTTGCTTTTTTTTTCTTAACATACACAGCCATCTTTTCACAACAAGAAACTTAGAACATGGTTAAGTTCATGTTCTGAAAAGAAGTCTAGACATATTAAAACTAAAAGGCAAAATATAAGCCCGCCCACCCGCCTTGTCTTTGAAAGAATCTGAAAAAATTCTAAAGAATGTGAAACAGTCCAAAACCATCCGAAAGGAAGAATCTCAAAAAAAAGGAAAGAATCTGGAAGAATCTGAAGCAATCCAAGAAAATCAGTCTCATCTTGACAAGTACTAGCCCCGCCCACCCACCCTTTATTTTCTTTGAAGAGTGGGACATGTGCCAAAATCAGTCTTATCTTGACAAGTACTAGCCCCCCGCCCACCCTTCCTTATTTTCGTAGAGAATATGTCATTTGCAAAAATCAGTCTCACACTTGCCAACATAAGGACGCCTGTGGG